AGGCTTTAAAGCCTGAGGAGCAGTTCACAGAAGGCCTCCATGATCTTGGTCATGAAGTTTTGTCACAGAAACAGAAAAGTAACTAGCAGAGCACCCTAGTCTTGCCATTGTTTTCTTTGATTGTGGCCCAAGATTACTTCAGATTCCCGGGCACTGTGTAGCTGGTTGAGGCGACAGTTAACACAATTCACCAGAGGCCACAGATCTTTCCTAAGTGAACTATTGTGTGAAGCAGTTCTAACTGGCTTTAAATGTAACCCATAAATGTAACAAGGCTTTCTCCTTGTGTTAGATTTCCTTTCTGCTCAGAAACATTTATCTCTAACTGGAAGATGGTGGGCCCACAATCTGCTCAAAGCCCCTCTCTAAGGAACACAGACAGGCAAGCTACTTTTCTGCTTTTCCCCACCTTAGTGAGCAGCAAGTGGGAGCTGTTGGGCAAGGTTTTATCTTTACATTTGACAAGAAAAAACAGCCATATTCTTCTAGCGTGTCAGAAGCAGCAAGGTGGCAAAGATCTGACAGGCCTGAGTAAGGCTGCCCCACCTGGGGGCTGACAACCGCCCGGGTGGTCCCGAGTGGTGCTGGGTCACTAGCGAACAGCCTAGCCTGGCTGCACTTCTGATCAGATCATCATCATGTCCAGTTGCTTCAGTGTGCTGAGCATGCTGCCTGCATGGCCTCTCTCCCTGCCGCAGCCCCACAGCACCTCCTGCCGTGAAGTGCATCCATTCTGCTGGGAATGCTTCTGCCAGAAAATCTCAGGCTTCTACCCTGAGAGGCACATCTGATGGGCATTCAGTGAAGCCAGGAAATCTGTGTTTTTGACAGTTTTCTCAGTGAGAAGGATGGCTGGGGAGGTACTGCAGCAAATGGCTTATGCCCCACTCCCCGCTTGCTCCTGAACACACGAACTCCAGTGTAACCCTTTTAAAGCATTTAGCTTAGAGAAGCCCTTGGGAAACAATGCTAAGAGAATGTGCAGATGCACAGAAGTGGCAGTAAACAGTGACATGCTGTGCCGAAAGCCCTGCAGCTTTCTAGAGACCTGGCTTGAAAGCTGCCTCCCCAGGACTCGCCTGCTGGCACATGGCTTAGGACAGTGTTATGTAATGATTGTCACAGTCAGCTAAGCAGACAGTGCTTCACTGGACGGTTCTGCTCTGAGAAGTAGCAGAACAGGCTGTCGTACACAAAGCACACAGTCCAATATACCACAACCAAAACACTGTTATTCACAAAAAGCCAAGCTTACAGTCTAGCTAAGAAAATATGCATTTTGGATAAAGATGGTACTTTTGAAAAAAAAAAAAGCTGCTTAGGGACAATTTAAGGGCAGACCGAACACCTTTACTTAAAGTCCAAACAAAAGCCAGTAGTTGGGAGCAGGGAGATGTCTCAGTCGGTAAAAGTGCCTGTCATCAGCCTGATCTCAGTTCCCCGGAGTCCACAGGGAGGAGAGAACAAGTTACCCTTTGACCCATGCACATGTATCGCAGCACACATCCCTCCCATACACACATTTTAAAATGGACTAGAGAGACGGTGGCTCTCTCGGCGGGTAATGGCACTTGTTGGCAAGCCTGATATCCTGATTAGATTCTTGGAATCCACATAGTGGAAAGAGAGAACCAACTCCTCGGTGTCCTCTGACCTCCAGATATTCTGCCCACCTTGTCATCTCCCCAGACTCCTGAGGCTACCTTTATTTACAGCTTGTACAGTGCACAGGCCTGGTAAGGAGGGCCAAGTTGTCGGGCTTGCCAACAAGTGCCATTACCCACTGAGCCACCATCTTACCAATCCATTTTTCAACATTTGTATATGAGAGGGACACATGAACTGTGATGTCCTCAGACACACCATTTGGACTGATCTCATTGAGTAACACACTAGAGCTGAGACTGTCCTCATGTTTACATGAAGAAAATAAGGTCCCAAGTTGGGAGACACTTCCCCAGGGTTTGCAGTGAGGCAGATGCTGAGCCCAGTAATCCGCTCCTCCTGCATACGTCACCATCAAATACCCAAGCTTACGTATTCAGTGCAGAGTGGAGTAGGGCTCCAACCTCGCCTTGCTGCAGTTTAGCATTTGTCTGTACACACATAGTTAATAATTAAAAAGTGTTCATTTGCAACACCATCTGTCATCAGTGTTTTTCATCAATGGATCTGTTTAACCTGTTTATTGATCTATTTGGCTATCACAAGGCTAAAATCATACTGGCTTAACTGCCACTGCTCTGTACACTGTGGCATCTGGTACACAAGTCTCACGTCTGTAAGTCTTAGGGATTTCAGAATTGACTCAAGTTCTATTGAACAGAAGTTGCAATTTCAATTAAATTTATAAAGTTTTTGGAAATGGGTGTCTGAGCATTGTCTTTCAATCTGTAATCTTAATGTGGGTCTTCTGTGACTTTCAGTGACGCTCAATAGTATTCTCCATTGTTATAAACTTCTTTGAGATGAAATGCTTGTTCATTTGGGGAGCAGGTATATTTTCTCGCTGTTATTTGTGTTCCTTGAGTGTAACCAGGATTCTTCCATGCTCTGCAAGTGCTTCATCCCTGAGACACCTGCCTAGGCTGCTACTGTAAAAGGCATCTTCTTGAGTTAGTTTTTGCTTGTCAATGGTTGAAATGCCTTTGGTTCCTCACAGATCTTAAATCTAGCACCTCTGAACTCTTCTGGACTTTCTACTAAGTTCTTTCTTCTTTTCATCCTTTTTACCTTTTATCACACTGGTGGGATCCAGTAAAGCCACCAGAAGCAGTGACAGGGAGTCCTTGCCACCCTGACCTATCCTCATTCATAAACAGCACTTGCTCTTGGCTTTCTCCTGATTCTTGGTCTGTTAAGGGCCTCTTTGTTGCTGTCTTAGTTAAACAGGTACTGAATGTTACCTGTCTGCATAGTCTATTTCAGTTCCCTTCGCTTCTTGATGACGACTTGGGTTCCCCAACCTTCTCAACCAAGAGTGATTTCATGAACTTAACACACACTGGCTGTGTAGACTAGAAACAAGAAAGGCTACTTCTCAAGTCCAGAGCTACCTGACTGCTTTTAGGGAAGACTGTGGCTTAAGCCTAGTGGATGGGACTGCCTTGAGGGAGGCTGGAACCCCTTCTCTGTCAGTTACAGAAGCACCCAGGAAGCAGGGAACAGGGCTGTTGCAGTAAATATTAGGAGTTTCTACACCACCCTGGAGCATGTAGTTCCCAAATAAAAGATACAAAACCTTTGAATTTTAATAAGCCTTAAAGCAGTAGAACTGGGCAGATATCAACCCTCTGTGCTAGTTCGTCTACTTGCTTGTCAGTAACCCCAAGATATCACTTGCATGTTCTGCCTGGGCCACTCCTACTCCATCCACCTTACCATGGCCTTCCTCCTCCTTCCTCTCCCTATCCTCACAGTCTCTCTTCAGACACCCCCATGGGACTGGGAGCAAGAACCAGACCAAACTTCTACAGGGGGTTTAGTATACACAACATGGTTGTCCAACTTGAAGGGAGGAAAAGCACGCATCTTCCTACCATTCTCAGATGTGGCCAGTTTGCCAGCTCCCTTTGTTAGACCCTCTAAACCAGGGGGTGGTATGCCATTTTCTTCTCTCAGAAGTGGGAAAACATGGGCTACAGATGAGACAGCTCAGCAGTTAAGAACACACAATGCTCTAGCAGAAGACTTGGTCTCTAGGATCCACACTGGGTGGGTCACCATAGCCTTTTAACTCTAAGGGACATGACATCCTCTTCTGGCTGCCGAAGGCACCTGCACTCTCACCCACATACCTACACATAAACACACACACAAGTATAAATAATTTAAAAACACAACTTTTTTTTTAAAAAAAAAAAAACTCCAGTAGAATACTGGAGAAACAGCCTGTGGAAACAGGCTTTTCAAATGGTGGTTTCCCATGTTTGAAGGCACAACGTACTCACTGCCTAGTACTGCCCTCAACAGCTCTGTCTGCTGTGTGGGGATCTTTGGTTCCACGAGACTTAGTAGGCCTTGATTGCTGTATTGACTTCAAGAGTTGTCTCGAAGCAGGAGATAAGTTGGGACCAGCAAGAGGTGCTTCAGGGGATGCAGAAGATAATTCCACACAAGGAAGAACTTTTACATTGACTCTGATAGGAATATCACAGCAAGTGAACAAGCCATCAGCCAGGAATTTTGTGGAGTAGACAGATATGTGCCAGAGGTGGGCTGCTGGTCTGTGCTCTGGACTGAGCTCTGGGGTGTGAAATGAGCAGTTAACAGAGGTGCCTGGGTTTATTGGAGAGCCATCGTGATCAACAAGTGTGTTAGTTTGGAGCTACTGGGTTCACAGCAGTCCTCCATAGGCTTCTCTGCCCTTTGTGCCATTGGCTTTCATGCCTTTGATCCTGGAGGCTGACCTGCCTGTTGCTTAAGAGCTGGAGAGCCTTTATATAATGTGCAAACTGGATCAGGTACAGAATAGGGACTAGAAAGCAAAGACCTCCAGAGTCCATTCCTACTGTGGAGGGAGTATTGCTCAGACCACCTTCACACAGCACTGTGGCACCAACGGGCTTTATTGGTGGGACTTAGAACCATGGTAAACCCTGGCATGCAGACTGAGGGCTTGGGACAGGTGCTAAGCAGAGAGAGATGAGAAGCCTCCATGGGAGCTGCTGCTTGGGGTGCTTTGTCTCTTAGTTTTTACAGGCAAGTTTGCAGGCAGACAGTTCAGCACTTCACAAACTGATGGGTGACCTCGAAAATCCCCACAGACTCCTGCGCCTTCTCATCATAGTCTGTCCAGTCCTATGAAATAAGAAGGCAGCATCAGCCTTTCAAGGCAGAACAGGACAATGTGGACAGTGGAACCAGAAGTTCCAGAGCCTAACGCAGGTTCTGACTCAGCTAGTCATGAATGCAGGAGACTCTTAACAGAGCAGAGAACCCAGGCCTAAACTCCATCTCTTGGTCTTGTAACCAGGCAAGTCATGTCGTTTCCCCAAACCTGAGTTCTGTCCTTTATTAAAAAAGAAAAACAGGAGACTTGAGAGTGAATGTTAAAAGAATGAAATGAAACATTTCATTTTCCATTCACACAAAACACATTTAGCACAGTAACCGGCACAAGGTGGGCACAGAATGCCACCTACTGCTGTTAAAAGGAGGCAGGCAAATAGAATGAGCTGTTGTTCTTCCTTCACAGAGGTAAAGCCCCGGGGCGGGGGTAGTGCTCAGAGTACCCCTTGCTGCTGCTAGGCCTTATTGTGCTCGATGCCATCATGTTCTTCTCGTGTTTGTGGTGGTGCGATTATTTAGTGGAGATTGCCACCCATCTCTGGGCAGTTTACCTGATGTACAGAAGAGTGAAGATCTTCCCAGACACTGCTGTTTAGGTGGATTAGTGATTCAGTTGAATTTTCTGATAACAGTTTAAAGATACAAGTGGCCAGTGCTTCTTATGAGTGATCTATAGAAGATAGCAATAAAACTAAAAAATACCTTTTTTTTCAGCTGGATGTGAGATTTACTGGAGATAGGGAATAAGAACAGGGAAATTTCAGGCATTGCTAGCCCACAAGTCATGCCTGTGAGAAACAGGCCAGTGATCAAAAAAGCAATTACATTCCTGTAACTATGGTTAGGTCTGAGTCTCCTGGTCCTGTAGCTGACAGATGGAGTTACAGGGTTTTGGTATGCACCTCGAGAAAGCAGTTCTAAGAGGAAAATAAATGACCCTATTGGGAGTGAACACAAAGGAAAGTAGACAGTTAGTTATCCAGGCCAGCTCAGCAAGGCTTCGTCAACTAGAACAAGAACCAAAGTCAGCCACACTGTGACCACAAACTGCTGCCAGTCCAAGAAAACTGCCTGAAATATACTTTGATGGCATAAACTTTGTTAATCAATAATAAAAAAATATTGTTTTGGGATAAAGATGTAATTATGGGAGGAAAAATAGTAGGAGAGAATGTTTAACTACATGTGGACTTTTGAGGAAATTTGTTTTTTGAACTGTATGACTTATGATTATGAGGTGATTTCTTTCTGCATAAAGACTTTTGTTCAGAGTAGTTTACAAGAGTTATGAGAAAAAATAACATTACAGAGAACAGGAGAAAATATGAGCTTGCTTCAACCATAACATGTCTGTGTGTCTTCTTATTGCCAACTTCACAGGTCCTCCTCAGAACCCTGACCTGCTGGAGCTGGACTCTGGCAACTGCCCTTAAACATTATACTTATGGTCATTTCAGTAGCAGAATCATCAACCAAAAGCACAAAAATCTGGAGCTTGCTCGGAAGCCCTGTTCACCAAAAAGAGAATTCCCACCAGGCACTATGTAACATCTTGCAAGATCCCCAAGTCTCACCTTTTCTTGCAGATTAATGTCACTGAAGACGGTCCCCGACTCCAAACCTTCAGCCGCAAACCCAGCCTGCAGGAGACAGGAAGGCAGCAGGGAGGGTGGGGAAAAGAAGGAGCCTGTGAAGACTGGCCCAGGGCTGCTCTTCCTAGCAAAGCCTTCATGATGAAAGGCAACTTCAGCATACACAGCTTCTCCTGATAAACTCGAGTTTCCAAGTTACTCGGCACTGCCGCGGTGTCTCTAAATTACAGCCCTGGCCCCGAAGACTGCCTTGGTTTCCTTTCTGTTGCTGTGATAAACACCATGACCCAAAAGCAAGTTGGGAGAACAGAGTTTACTTTTCGTACAGCCCATCATCCAGGGACACCAGGGCAGGATCCTACAGACAAGCACTAAAGCAGAGGCCATCTAGGAAGAGTGCTTCTGGCTTGCTCAGCTACTTTTCTTTCCCATCCTTCCCCTCCCTCCCTCCTTTCATTCTTCCCTCTCTCCCTCCTTCCTTCCCTCCTCCCTCTGCCTCTCTCTCTCTTTATTGAGACAGTGTCTCACTATGTAGCTCTGGCTGACCTGGAAGTTACTACGTAAACCAGTCTGGTTTTGAGCTCACAGAGATCCGCCTGCCTCTGCCCTTCAAGTGCTGGGATTAAAGGCGTGTAACCATGTCCAGCCTCAGCTATTTTTCTTATATAGCACCTGGGACAATTCTTCAGTTGAGGCTAACAAAAACCAACCAAGTATAAACGCAGGCATGGGGTAAACTCTCCCATCACTCTATCTGTTGAAGAACTAGGTATGCACCCCACTTCCCTCTCTGAACCTTAGTTTGTGGGGTGTTTGTTTGTTTGTTGAGACAGGGTCTCTCTCTATATCTCTGGCTATCTTGGAACTTGCTATGTAAACTGGGCTGTCTTTGAACTTACAGAAACCCACCTGCGTTAGCCTCCTGAGTGCTGGGATTATAGTTAAGACCCACTATGCCTGGCTCTGAACCTAGGTTTTATTTGTTTGCTTCTGAGACAGGGTCTCATGGATCCTGGGCTGGCTTTAACCTTTCTGCGTGGCTGAAGATTTTTATCTGTGTTTTTGTTTATGAAACTGGGATGCCAATACCATCTTTTCTAACTTACCTCACAGATAGATTTACTATGAGGTAAAAATGTACAAATAAGCGGATGAGCACTGACTGTAAGACTCAGACAGACAGACAGACAGACCCGGGTTTAAATGACAGCCCCCTGCTTACTAACTGTGGGACTCTGGCACGCTGCAGTCTCTGAAGTTCCCTTGTCTAAAAACTAGGATGAACCACTCCACAGGTTACAGTAAGGATGAAATGAAGTAACAGAGAAAGGTGATGGGCGTGGAACACAGCACACAGTAGGCATTTAATAAGTGACAGTGTGATGGGCGTGGAACACAGCACACAGTAGGCATTTAATAAGTGACAGTTACTATTCATAGGCTTCCTGCTTTGTGTTGTAGCTCAGTGCTAGAACACAGAAGGGAAAAACAAGATGGAGAATTCCTATTTTAGTTTCTGTAAAAAGCAAAGTTCACTCACTCCATTCCCACCCCAGAGTCTTAAAATTACATACCTGGGGCTGGAAGTCAACTGGTTCAAGGCCCCGGCACTCAAACTCCACTATTGTCTTGAACTTCTCATTGTCTTCAGCCTGGAGAGGAAGTATATTGAGGAGGCAGGCCCAATGGGCCCTCAGGAGACCCCCATGCCCTCTGCTCTTTCTACCATGTGGGCCCTTACTACACCCGTGAGCCTAGAATAAGACCCAGAACAAGTTAGCCCTTTAAAAAACCAAAAAGCCTGCTTGGGTACTGCTCCCGATGGGACCTTCTGTAGAGACAGATTCTGCAGAAGAGTGAGGATCCTTGGGTCAGCCCTCCTGTATGTCAGTAGAGCAGAGGAAACCCTACATGTCTATTGTAAGGATCTGAATCATGCACTGAGAGCCAAGCATTGGCCCTAACACTAGGTTCAATGAATAGTAAATAACCAAAAAGACAGGAATGTTAAGCTACAAGGACTCTAGACCATCCATATGGTCCCAGTAAGTACACCATGGCCTTTTGCTAACCATCCACCATGTTGGGCTGGAGAGATGGCTCAGAGGTTAAGAGCACTGTCTGCTCTTTAGAAGTCCCAAGTTCAATTGCCAGTGGTTACTATAGATGGTGGCTCATAACCATCTATAATGAGATCTGATGCCCTCTTCTGGACTACAAGCATACATGCAGGCAGAATGTCATATACATAATAAATAAATCTTTTAAAAAAATAAGGAACCTCCCCTACCATCCACTATGTCATGAGGAGAAGGGCTGGGCATGTGGAGAGGGTGCCTCTTGGGAGGTGGGTAGCCAAGAAATCCATGCCCCATCCATGGATTTCATCCGTGGGCTCAGACTACCAAGCACCATGCCCTGATTTTCATTCCGTGTACTTTCTCTGTGTACTCTCAGGGGAAACACTGTGGTATCACCCAGTGGATGATATGATATGGTAGACCAAAGGTGGACTGAGCAAATGAACAGCTGAGTGAGGTGCATGAGAGAGTAACTAAGCAGCGGACATGGTGTCCAGTACCTGGACTCTCAGCACTCAGGAGGCTGAAACAGAAGTATGAGGAGTCTGGGCCAAGCCTGGGCTACCTAATGAGACCCAGTCTCAAGCAAAACAAAGAGTTAAGTACATGGGACAATGTCCAGTGGCAAACCACTCTGATGCAGCAAGTCTTGAACCCACTCCTCCTACCCACCATTCTGACACTATCCCTGACACTACAGCAGGAAACTTACATTGTAAGACTTGATGGTGCTGCTCAAAATGTCTGAAATATAAAATGGAAAAGTTGACTTGAATCTATCCCCGGACTCCACCCAGGTGCCCAGACACGGCTTGGGAAAAGAGAGGTGCAGAGGTTATAGTACTTCACACCTAAGTCCACCCCTGGACAACACAAGCCTGCTTCCAGTCAGCATGGAAGAGCCTGCCTGACCTACCAATAGAGTTTTCTCGTGCACACAGCTTGCACTTCTGGACCATGGAGGCACTGCCTCGGCCTCCTTTCAGCGCCACACTGTCCTGGCAAGAAGCAAACAGAATCTCTAGTCATGTAAAGGCTAGACGCAGGGATCCCAGAGAGATCTCACCCCACCACCTCATCCAGTGGAACAGACTAAGACCACAGAAGTGAATCACTTGCCGACCAGCGATAAGAGGCTTACGGAGAGCTTGGCAGTAGAGCATGCTCAGATGTGCGAGGCCCTGGATTCAATCCCCTGGGTGGGGCAGAATCCTAAGGAGTCTTCTCGTGGTTGAGAAAAAAAGGCCCTCTTGATTTTGAACTCTGCCTGACATCCCAAAGATGTCTGTTGTTCCCCCTGCGGGTCACACTGGTGCTAAACACCAGGCCCTCAAATGGTCAAAGGAAATAGAGATGAAGGCCAGTTTCCCCAAATTTCTGCCCAGGAGCATATGTGTGTATGTGGTAGGGACCGTTACCATCAGGCGGATATACTGCCACTTCTCTGAAATCTCGCCACAGTTGCCACATTTCATCTTGGGGAAGAAAAAGAATATTAGTTGAGCAGGTGACTTCCTTGGAAAGACACCATGGGAAGGGTAAGTATAGTGTAAAGTAAGCGCATAGCCTAAAATCCTCCTTTTAATTTATTTTAGAATAGCCCAAACTATTTTTGAACCTGAGATCTTCCTGCCTCTGCTTTCCAAGTACTGGGATCACAAAGGAGTGCCACCATACCTAATACATCCTATCTTCTAGGTGATTCCTACATCATCCTATAGTCAGTCCCAACGAGGACATGAGCAGATTTATCTCCAGGTAAGAACAAGTTGTTTCTGATGCTGTCACCCCCTCTAGAATCTGTGCCATTTGACTGGAGACTCCAAGTTGCCACAGGCCTCCAGCTCTGTGCTTAGGATCCTGAGTGCTGGGGCTAACAGTTCATCATTTTGTTACTGTTTCTCTCTTACTGTTTCTTCAAGTCAGAAAAGTTCATTCTTCAAATGAGCCCTGGAACTCCTGCTCCAAACATTTGGAAATAGGAGCTGTAGGGGAAATGGTAGAGCCCAGTACTGGGGTGGGGGTGGGGTGTGGAAATAAAAGAGATCTGTTATGGCTCTGGTGAGTCACTGAGGTAAGATTAGGGGAATAACGCAGAATCCGGGACAGTGAAGGGCCTCACACTGCTTGGACCTCTACAGACCATATGGACAGAGTACCCACCCAGTTTACTAGCACTGTGTGAGGACAAAGGGTGGCCAACTTTCACAATAAGTAAAGCCAGCAAATAAAACAAGGTGAATTTATTCACTGTACTAAGTAGTCACAAGGTCCCTTCAAATAACATTTTATTCAGTGTGTGCTTACAAACCAAGAGCTGGAAGGATTTCACATCAGGAGAGTGCTAGCATGCGACTCCAAATTCAGATATGACCCCCCCAGAACTAAAGAGGGTAAAAACAGAAAACTCCACTGTGTGAGGAGGCCAAACATCTGTAATCCTAGCAAGATCAAGAGTTTAATGTCATCCTTCGCTACATAAAGAGCTCGAGGCCAGCCTAGATTACATAAGATTAATGTTTAATTAATAAAAAAAAAACCCTAAAATTCCATCCTGAAAAACTCACTTAGATGCCTGGTTAAGTACTTTAGACGCAATGGAACAGAAAAGCTCCCAGCTCAACACTGAGATCATGGCTTTGCCCTGAGCCCTAGGATGCCCACTGCCTCCCGATGGTCCTCCCTTTCCCAGGAGGAATCCGCCTTCCGTCGCACCTTCAGGTACCACCGGAAGTCCTCGCCTACTGGCCGAAGGTTCGTGACGTTCTCTAGCGTGGCTTTGAGCTGCAGCGCGATTTTCTGAGAAGAGGGCGGGACAAGCTGAGTGCACGGCCTCATCTGCTCAGCTCTGTGCCACGCCCCACTCCCCCCCTCCCGGCTCAAGCCCGGCCTCCCGGGCCTTACTCCTTCCACTCCCTTCTGGCCTGAGCTAGTGACTCTGAGCCCCTCGCCGCCTCCGCCCCACCTCTCACTCGGCTACCGATGGGATGCCCCGATGGCGAATCGCCTCCATTACCCCCATAGCTGCCCGGTCCACGTTATGCCGCTGCGACAGCTGCTTTCCGGCCCGTCGTAAAAGGCTGGCGTCGTTGCGCAGCCTCAGTGCGAGTGGGCGGGGAGCCGGGCATTGGTGCGCGGTATAAGTTCCCTGTTTCCAACTTGTCCCTCCTTAACCTGCCGGTCTGGGCTGTTTTCGGTAGGTTCGCTGGAACCAGTGGGATCCCTAATACCAGAGATGGTACCTGATTCTCAGTCTGTGCCTTCACTAAGCAGGCAAGATAGTCGGGCTCGAAACCTCTGCCAGACCTCTCTAGGCCCTCGGTTCTCTATCCGACTTCTCACTACCCTGTGGTCCTAAGGCTTCTCCGATTACATTTCAGCCTCCCATATTTGGGATAGTCGCTTTCTAAACTGTCCACTGTATCTACACGATCTGATGCTGCGACCTTTCCCACAGGGCTGCCCTGTGTCCACGTCCTCCTAGTGGTACCTGTGTTTTAACAGAGCTGGCTTTCCCCCCACCTTAGTCATATACTTACTGACAGTGCAGGAGCTGGGGGACAAACATTCGAAAACACGTCCCATTTTTTTCGAGACAGGTTTTCTCTGTGTAATAATAGCCCTGGCTGCCCTCAACTGGCCCTGAACTCAAAGAGATCCACCTACCTCTGCCTCCCGAGTGCTGGCATTCAAGGCGTGTGCCACCACGCTTGGCCTCACTTTTATGGCCTAGTCTTTTTAAATTTTATGTATTTGAGTGTTTTGGCAGGTAGTATGTATGTCTGTAGCTCCCACCAAGGCTAGAAGAGGGCACCATAATCCTTTAACACTGATGTGAGCCACCCTGTGGATGTTAGGAATAGGATGGGGTCCTCTATTAGAGTAGCAAGTTCCCTTAACTGCTGAGCCATTCCCCTACTTGCTCGACACCACCAGACTGGCCTTTTATCTCAGAAATCTGGCATCCTGACATATCAGATACAAATGATATCCCTAACTTGAAGCAGACAGTATGAAAAGTCTGAGGACACTTGGGACCTCGTCTCAGACTGGAATGTCTCTAAGGATACGTATTAAGGCTCATTGTGTCCCTTCAGTCATATGAACCGTATCAAGTCCCATTCCTTCTGGTGCAATCTAGTCTGCTATTTCCGGAAAGCCATGAAATTTAAGTAATGGCAAGAGAAAGTTCCTGCCAGTTTACCTACTGAACAGTTTTCCTCCACACTGAAATAAAGGATGTGTAAAAAGGCCCAAACACAATACAGCTTCATGCCTGAGAAGCTAACACTAATGCTAGCCGGGTGTTTTACTACTGAACTATAACTCCAACAATTAATTAATCTTGTAATTCTTCAGGGTTCCCATTTCCCTTGAAACTTAAAAATCTGGGTGTGGTGGCACCTGCCTATAATACCAACACTTGGGAGATTGATCCCAAGATCAAAGTCATCCTGGGCAGCAAAGGGAGGGGAGGCTTTGTCAAAACAAGATCCAGGTACCTTGTCCTGGAATATTGCTAATGAGATTAACTCTCACTGTACTGAAAATGATTCAGATGTGTGTGTACTAACGCCCACAGCACAGCACAATGTGGAAGTTCTGAGTCAGTTCTTGCCTTCCACCTTGTTAAGGCAGGGTCTTTCTGCTACTGGGTGGCTTAGTCCAGGCTAGCTGGCCCAACATAAGTCCCACGGATGCGGATTGTGGTCAGGTTTATTCAGCTAAAGCTTTTACTGCCAGAACCATCTCCTTGGCCCTCATTGTATTTTTAAACCTTTCCCCATCATTTCCTGTAAAATGGTAGTTTTTAGACAGTTGCTTAGGTTTTTCTTTCTTTCCTCTGTCAAGTCTCCCAGAATGTTTGTATTTTACATATTGAGAATTCACATATTCAGGTGTTTAAAAAAAAAAAAGATGTTATCACATTTATTAAAGACCATCATTTATTGTTTATAAAAATTGCCCCAATATACAGAAAAAAAATTCCTAATTACGGTAACTAAAACCTCCCACCCGCCTTGTGTCCACAATATCCAATTTAGATTGGTTTAATCTTGAAGTGTAATCCAATAAGACTGAAGACTAAACACTTCAGGTCCTGGACAAGATAATAAAACACTCGTAAGCCTTCTGGATCCCTAAAACACAAAAAAAAACCAAAATGTTTAAGAAGCAGAGAAAAATTGGCAAATACAAAAAATTAATAGCTCAATTACTATAAAAATGTTCCTTTTGAAGATATTTACAGTAATAAACCCTGAGGAAGCACATGTCCATTAAGAAAGGTCACTTACTAAAATGGAGCCATTTAAGCATGTTGTTTTTACTGTGAAAATACATAAAATTAAGGGGGAAAACTGTGATTTCTAAAACAGTTTTGTCTCTTATGCTTTCAAAACAAAACTGTATATAGAACTGGAAATCCAGGTCAGTGGTGGAAAAATGCAAGGCTCTAACAACAGTTAATTCCCAGCACCACAAACCTAAATAAAAGGTCCCACCTCCACCCCCAGCACAGGGTGAGGGGGTTAAAATCTGTTTTGTTTTTGAGGCTGGGTCTAGTTATACAGATCAAGATGGCTCAATCATGAGACTCCTGTGTTGTTTTCTTCTTAAACAAAATCTCAATCGTTTGGTTTTATCAATGACTCCAGAGCCAGATGCTGGGGTGAAAGCCTCCTAGCTCAGAGGGGCAAAGAAAGTACCCAGCTGACCTTCCTCATCAACCAATGTTCCAGAAGCCATCTCCTAAAAACCTCTTTCACACTGAATGGCCCTCCCTTCTACTTCCTGTGCGTCTCTCCATCTGCCCTCCTGACTCCCTGTTACTCTCTGTGGTTTTTTTCCTGTGTTCATTCTCTGTCAACTGTTTGCTCTGCCTTTTGGGCTATGGTTGACTTTATTCAATCATGTTTACAATATTCAAGCAGAGAGCTCTTGGATTAAAAGTGTGTGCTAAGGCTGGGCCACACCACAACTAAAGGCAGGGTTTTTCAAAGTAAATAACAATCTCAGGGCTCACAGCGCGATCAGATGTCCTGTGCTGTACCTCCCAAGTACTTGAGATTATAAGCATGCGCCACCATGCCTCAGCTCCTGGTGTTTTCTAAGACTAAGAAATTACATGTCGGCTGGGCAGTAGTGGTGCATGCCTTTGATCCTAGCATTTGGGAGGCAGAGGCAGGCAGATTTCTGAGTTCGAGGCCAGACTGGTCTACAAAGTGAGTTCCAGGACAGCCAGGACTACACAGAGAAACCCTGTCTCGAAAAACCAAAAAAAAAAAAAAAAGAAAAAAAAAAGGAATTACATGTCAAGATGTTAGGTAGAACTGGGCATACATGCTTTTATTCAAAGTTCAAGGCTGGCCTGATCTATATAGCTGAATTCTTGGACAGTCATGGCTAGAGAATAAGATCCTTTTTTTTTTTTTTTTTTTTTGAGAATAAGATCCTTTCTGAAACAAAAACGATGTTATCACTGGTTGTCTATTAAGGATAGGAAAGAACTTTCCCTTTCTCTTTTCTGTATTTCCTGTATTTTCCACAATGACCATCGATTGCTCTCAGAATTGAAGAAAAAAATTAAAGAGTAAGCAGGACTGACAAGTATGTCTAGGAAGCGGAGAGCTGTCAAATTCTAAGGGTTCTTTATAGCAAATAGAGTCACATCCCAGTGTTAGAATTGGACCACACTAACAACATGAATTTAAAATTTAAATACAGCAAGATTTCAAATTTCACCAAGACTAAGATGGGCTAGTCTGAACAGTCAACACCCAGAAAGCTGTTCACACAATGAGCAGCATGGTGTGGCCTCATTTCCTCTTCTGGTTGTCACTACGTACTCCTACATGTCTCTGAGAAGCAGTCACTGCATGAACCACCACAAGTAAAAGAAGCAACTCCTGAAAATACAACTGGGCTTGTGGGCTCAGCCATTGATGGGTATAGTTAGGCCTATAAGGTTTCCAACTGTCACATGTACGTTCAGATGCTTCCTCTTGTCATTTCCTAAGCGATACATTACAGCAGCTATTTACACAGAATTTGGCTTTACAAAGATGACTTAAAGTAAATGGAAAGTACACAGGCTTCATGCAAACATGACACTATTTTATAGAAGGAAATTAAGCATTAAAGATTCTAGTACCAAAATCCATGAAACTAACCCCTCCATGATACCGAGCCACGTAACCTGGAAACACCCCCCCCCCATGACTGAAGAGGCTCACACCACCCACCTCTGTGTTGTGCCTGCACCATCTTTGTATGATGGCCCCATATGGGTTGATACTTTCCGTTCAATCTCTAACAACAGACACAACTGATTATAAATGTCAGATATGCTTACTTGGACTGGTTGACATCAATAAGGGAACCAATTTTTGATGTTGTAAAAGAAATGTGTTCATCTCCAATGACAATTTCAAGCTCCTAAAAACAACAATAAACAAACAATATATATGTATCAAAGTCAGACAGTATTGGTTCATTCATCAAGCACACAGGACGAAGGCTCATCGAAACTCTGGTCTTTATGCTTGCATTATTAGGGTGTGTGTGTAAGACGTAGGCATGAATCTCAGAGCGTATTCATGGAGACATGAGGACAACTTGTAGAAGTTGTCACCTCACACCTTTACGTGGGTTATGGAGATTGAACACAAGCTGCCAGGTGTGGCCACAAATCCCCATCCCCATCCCATCTTTTTAAAAAGAAATACACGTTATTGCCTGTTCTCTGGCATCCCCTGAAACTACTGTGTATTCCTTCTACTTGCTTTTTTAGACTTAGCAGCATCTTTTTAAGTAAATGGCCACAGCACATGTGTCTATGTTCTCTTTCATTCAACACTGTTTCTCAGATTTGGCCTCGTTGAGCTGCTCAACACTTTAAATGCTCTGAACATGCCATTTCCTTACTGAGCGGACTTAGGTTCTCAAGTTTTGTTACTATAAATGATATGGCAAGAATGTTCTAGATCTTGAGGCTGAGCTCACAGTAAACATTTGTGCCAGCCCCGGGGTTGGGTCCCCAGGCCCACTCTGCTAGCTCCTATCCACATGGCTGTCGATGTGGCTGCACAGACACCTTGTTCCTACCAGCACTGTGTTGGCTCTTTCTGTCCTTTTGAACACCTGGGTTAGGCTTTTAAGTGTTCTCCTACTTTTGCAGGTTACAAGTGCACTTGTAAATCTTTTCTGTGTTTACTGGCTATTATTTGAGTCTATAAACTATCTACTTATAGCCTTTGCAACATTTTCCCCCCTACCTCAGGTTATCTTTTTATTGGTTTAAATATATTTTCCAAGCATCTTCATCCAGTCTGTGGCTTGTTTCAACTTTATTTTGATGTCTTTTATCAAACTTTTAAGGGTTTTTTTGTTTGTTGACACAAGGTTTCTCTGTATAGCCCTGGCTGTCCTGAAACTTGCTTTGTAGACCAGGCTGGCCTTGAACTCAAGATCCACCTGCCTCTTCCTCCTGAGTACTTGGATTAAAGACATGCGCCACCACAGCCTGGCTAAGTTTTAACTTTAATGAAGTCAAATTTATAAATCTTTTCCTTTAAAAAAAGATATTTTTCTTTGTTTGTTTGTTTGTTTGTTTGTTTTTGAGATGAGTCTCACTATATTAACTTTGGTTGGCCTAGAACTTGCTATGTAGACCCAGGCTGGCCTCAAATCCACAGAGATCCACCTGCCTCTGCTTCTCAAGTGCTGAGATTAGATGCATATGCCACCATGCCCAGCACAATTTTACATTTTAAAAGCACCCTCTCCCCGCTTCCCCTGCTTTAGGATAGAAACATGGGGCTATACAAGACAGGAGAAACATGAAAAACAGAAGCCTGGAGTAAAGAGTAAGTAGCACTTGAGGTGGAATTATCTTTTATTTTTTAGTTATTAAAATGGTAATATAGGACTGGAAAGCTGGCTCAGTTAAGCACACTGATTGCTCATCCAGAGGACCTGAGTTCCATTCCCAGCACCAACATGGAATTAATGACTCCCTAGAACAGGGTATTCCTAGTCACATAGGGTTCCCTCCTCCCCATGTCCCATAGAGCAGTCTTCCTCCTCTTTGTAAGTACAAAGTACAGTGAATAAAGTACTCACCTGCCGGCCCACCCGATCAGGAGGGGGCCACAGAGCATCATCTTCCTTGGTGATTTCACTGTCATCAATAATTCTTTTTAACTCTTCCATCACACTTTTATGTACATAAGCCTGAAATCAAGTTTAAAATGTATGAGCCTATTAGGGCCACTCTCCTTCAAACCATGGCACCCCAACAACATCATTAACTCAAAGTAATAGGAGATAAAACAACTACTCCTGAAGGTCTGCTTCTGGCCCCTCCATAAGGAGGGCCAGGATCAAACTGTATCCAATGACAATATTCCAGCCCACCGGCTTCCTGCTGGCACATCCTGTTCACATACATCTTCTCTCTGCTATGGTTTAAATGTTTGTGACACCCCCCCCCCAATTGTGTTGAAATTTAATTCTCAATGTGAGAACAGTGAGAGGTACAGCCTTTAGTATAGACCAGGGCACAAGGACAGAAGGATGGAAGGGAATTATCTGGTCTCCTTTTGCCCCTTTGTCATGTGTAGAACAGTTTGTTTTGGGAGGCTACAGCAATAAGACACCATAAAGAACAGACAGGGTCCTCACCAAACATCAAACCTGACAGGGTCTTAGAATTCACTGAGAGGTGAATCTATTCTTTATACTCAGTCTTAGGTATTTTAATATAGCCGTGCAAATGGACAGAGATACACCTTTACTCTGTGGTATGGCTTGGACATGATTTCAGTGTGTCCTTCCCAACTCCATTTATGTGTCTAAAGGTTTGGTCCTCAGGGTGGTACTATGGGAAATGGTACAGTCCTTCAAGAGGTCCTTCAAGAGGTGGGAATGAATGGTAGGTCCTTAGATCATTGTAGCATATCATCAGAGGAATTGTGGGACTCCAGTGTCTGTGTGGATCTCTCTCCTGGTTTGAGAGGTCACTGCATGGCCACACACACATTCCCACTACTGCTGTGATGTTTGGATTTTGAACCTCCAGAATGATGAGCTAAATAATCTCTTGTTTTTGCGTCTCATTTAGCCCCACTGGCTTCAAACTTGCTATGAACTCTGATTAATTCCAGACAGAGTTTCCCTGTGTAGACTTGGAACTTGCTCTGTAGATGAGGCTGTCCTCTAGCTCAGAGATCCACCTCCTTCTGCCTCCCAAGTACTGGGATTAAAGTCATGCACCATTACCACAACCATTACTGTGTCCAACTTGAATTTCTAATCCCCCTGCCTTCAACTACAAAGTCCTGGGATTGCAGGCCTGTATCATTCCTGGCAATAATCCTGCAATAGTCTCTGTCAGGTATATTGTCATAGTGGTAATAGACAACTAATACACCCTGCCTTTTAAAGACAAGGTTTTATGCAGCTTAGACTGGCCTTGGGCACTCTGTGTAGCCAAGGATGATCTGATCTTGCTTTCACCTCCCCAGGGCTGATATTACAGACATGACTACCATAACCATTTTCTGTGACGCTAAGAATGAAACCCAGGGCCTTATGAAGACAAACACTCTATCAACTGAGCCCGTCCTAGTCATTAGTCATTCTTAATCAGATAGTACGCTTTTGAGGAGTACTAAGTCATACCAAAAAAAAAAAAAAAAGAAAAAGATATGATGCTGACTTGGCATAAAACTAACTGCTAAATAGTATGAAGACATACTATGTCGTATTTTCAAGTGTAAAAGAGTGGTTAAAAGAAAAGTTTTGATGAAACCTTAATGATATAGTAAAATCCCAGAAGAATGGAACACATGAACTTTACTGAGATATGACTATGCCCAGATTTCTATCATTATCTCTTACAAGCAAGAGTAACTAAGAACAAGCCTCGGATTATTTAATACCTAAGCCATCGTTTTCCTATATAAAGATATAGCAGAGTACTTTGTCACATGGCTTTTAAAATCAGGATTAAAGGAACACATATATGTTAAATTCCTAGTGCCACACAAGGCATCAGCCTGCATTTAAAAGACTTTCCCCCAATCCCTTTCCCCTTCAGAAGCAAATTCAATGTTCTCTTCATAGTCTATGTACTAGGGACTATATCAAACACTGTAAATATATTTAATTCTATGATAGCACTTGGGAGTGGAAGGTAGGTTTTCTTATCCTTTGTTTTACAGATGGAAACACAGAGACCAGGTTCAGCCAGAGAACTTGTCTGAGGTCACACGGTCAGTATGGGGCATACTGAGGGTACAAGCCAAGACACACAGATTTCAAACAGTTACTAGTTATTGATTCAGCTGGGGGGTGGGGGTGGGGAAGCAAATTAGAGACCTGAGAAGTAATCTGTTTAGAAATAAGTGCTTGCTTCCCCCTTCATCTTTCATTACCAGTACTAGAGAAAGCATAAACAATGTGAAACTGAAGGCTAGCTCCTAGTGAAGGAAACATCTGTACCTCTTTCCTGATCATGACATCATTTTTGTAATTGCTGTTGTTGGCATATCGCAGTTTACCTTTGGGAGAAAAAAAAAAAGAATG